TTAGGGCTGTTGTACATAGGGTCGCTATGAGCTGCAAGCGACTCAATGGCACATAACAACAAAGTCAAAGAGGAGAGGAAAGACAAAGGCAACCTGTACCTAAGCTGCATTTCCATGGCAACAAGATCAGCTCTCTGGAGAAAGGGGCACCAGTTCTGGCATGCAGTACAGTCACGTAAAGTCATTTAACTGAATAAGTAAATTTATCCTTTTTTGTTACAGACATTGACGAATGTGCACCACCCATTAGTGTATATTGCGGAGTAAATGCTAAATGTCTGAATACTGAAGGCAGTTTCCAGTGTCACTGCACCTCTGGATACAAGCTCATTTCTGGGGATACACAATTCAAGAGTTCCAGTGAAAATACATGTCAAAGTAAGAAAAATCTGTCTTCTTGGCTCCCTTCTTCCTTTTTCTGTCATGCCAGACACCAGGGTAGGTGTTCTCATTGTGGGTGCAGGATGGGTTTCTATCTTCCGGAGGAATATGGATGATGGAAAAAGGAAAGAGAACAAAATAAGGACATTCAGAGAAAGAACAGGGTGAGAGAGACAAGTGGTGTGTAGAATTGGAGAAGGTGATTGAGATAGGATTTTTTGGGGTGAAAGAAAACTTAAAAATCAGAAATTAGAAATGTGCACTAAAGCTGTAGGTACTAGCCTTGGACCTCGAGGACAGCGCTGCAGCTGAGCTTGAGCAATGAGCAGAGCTAGGACCCCAACACCACTGCTTTACCCTCCACCTCCATTCTCTACTCCTCCTCAGGTCTCTTCTCTTTCACTGTCGGCTGCTTCCCTCTGCTTCCTGGCCCATGGGACAGACGATGTGGGCACCAACAGCCCCAGCTCTTACATTTACTGCTGGTCCAAAGTCAGATTCATCAGCTCTATCTCTACAGCTCGACTTCAAATTCTTTGGAAATAGACCAGTTAGTCAGTCTCGTGTGCTTACCTTCAGAGCTGGGGGGCCGGGGGAGGGGTTGTGGTGTTGTATAGATGTAACCGTACTAGTGGAAACCGCTCATGGATGGTGTAAGTCCATAAATAGAAAACAGTTGACAGAAACCCAGTAGGTAATGGCTACAGTCAAAATCATAGCAGATCTGTATTAAAATTAAATTCTCGGCAGCTGATTTTGTGAAACAAAGATACTAGTGGTTTGGTTACCCATGGCTGACAGTGTTGGGTGGAGCTCCTCGATTAAAACAAACTTGGAAGCAGGAGTGGCATCCACTTCTGTAATAGCTTGCCTCTGGAAACCCTATGAACCTGGAGAAAGGATGAAAGACATACAAGTGTTGAGGACATTCCTTCGTAGGGTTGCTATGAGTCACCTGCGACTCGATGGCACTTAACAATAACATCAACATAGAGAGTGATCATTTGGCCCAGTGGACAGAAAGCAATG